GGGGTTGGCCACCGCCGCGGGTCTGCGGGGATCGCTCAGCGACTGCCGATGAATCAGAGCTTGTTCAGCGCCGGATGGGCAGAGGCTGCAACCTACTCACGGCAGTGCCGGGACATGCACCCAGGGGCTGTACGGATATGGGGTGAGTGAAAAAAACCCACAGCCCCCAGCCAGCCAGACCCTACCCCAGAGAAAGGGAAACCAGACCAAAAATATATCCAACTTGGGGCAAGGATGCATCTCCAGAGCTGTTTTCCTATGCAGCGCTTGGCTTCCCCGGGCAGCAGAAACAAATCTCCCTCTGATCTTGCCACCCACAAGAAACTCTAGCAGGGCTGAACATTCGCCGGGATTGGCACCACCTCTGCAAGCAACAACCCCCACGGTGGCTGCTCCCTCTTACCATCCTCCCCAATGCCCCTTGGCCAAGGCTCATGGTGCCGGCAGCCCACCCTCACCCCCTCCCGCCCACCAGGGAAAGGGTTAAGCATTAAACCACAGCACCTACCTGGAGAGATCGGACCAGTTCCTTCTGCTAAAAGACATTCCTGCTTTCCGTGAGTTTCAGAGGTCCTCAAAAACTTGTTCTGGCATCAAGACCAAGGTGCTGTCAGACCCGCGGGGATCTGCGCTGCCCAGAGACTCTGCTCCCCAAGGAGGGAGGAACTCCCTGCAAGGTTATTTCCCTGTGCACCTTTACCCTCCCTGCCACCCATTTACCACCACGCCGCATCACATGGTTTCTTATCTACCTTGACAGAGGCAAGGCTGTAATTTGCCTACTAGCGGCGCCGTGGAAAAGACGCCCTGCCCAGGAGTGCCACGCAAAAGCAAATCACTCCTGGCTGCCTGCTGTGCCAGGGTTTGAGCGGAGACCCGCGCTCGGCGCTCGATCCATCCAGGTCTCCCAGGGTTTCAGAGACAACTCCCTGCAGAGAACCTGTTTTACCAGCCGCTCTCCACCAGTCAACAACTCCTCCAGCACCGGTGGAGGAGGTGAATTACCTTGGGCTGAGTGGGAGGAGGCTGACTCCCAGGGATACAAAACAGTCATTAAAACACCCCGTCTGGGTGCAGTTCAGCCCTTTCCAAAGAGCGTGGGAGGGTGCCCTGCTCCTTTCAGCCTTTTCTGGACACCTTAGATTGAGCCGTCACAGCCTCCCTTTCCTTGCAAGTTTTGCTGCAGTAGAAAGCACTCACAAAGTTTCAGAGGAAGTGGCTGAAGGATGGAAGGGGGGTCCAATTTTTGGGTGTGGAAGCCCTTTACCGGAGGGAGGCTGTGTGCTCATCCCATGCCTGGTCCCAGTCCAACAAACCAGTCGTCCCCTGCCCAGGGTGGTCCCAAGACCCTGTCCCTCCGCACTCACACGAGGCAACACCCCCCTTCCAAGGGCATGTGTGAAGTCAGCAGGGGGACTCTCCCATCGGGGTGACAGGGGCACCCAGACACAGCACAGCCAGCTCCAAGCCTGGTTTTTGCCTGGGGCCAGCCCTGGCACACAGCGTGGCCAGGACCCACGTGCTCCCACTGCTGGGGGCAGTCAGGTAGCTATTGCAGCAGATGCATCCAGAAAAAGTCAGCCAGGACCCTTTGAATAAAATTTGAATAAAATTCAGTCTCTGATCCTGGTGAGATCCACCTCTCCATCAGCCTGTATAAGGCTGGGCTTGCCACACATGCCTCCAGCCCACAAGGGTGTGCCCAGGACCTGAGCAAGCAAAGGAACTATTTTAATCAAAGGTTCCTGATTAAAATGCCATTTCTAAAATGAGCCATCCACTCCAAACAGGGCTCCTTCTCAGGTTTTCTTTCTTTTTGCAGTCACCAGTTATCTTTCAAGTGTTTTCATACACACAGAAAATTCAGCAAGTTGTGGCATAAGGAAAAAAAATTACGTAAATAACCTTGCAAGTGTCCTGCTAATTGCTGACAAACTATATATAGCATTTTGGCATCAGCAAGCTACTCTAAAGCTATAAACCTTTCTGATTAATGCACAGCGAGCACTTTACTTGCAAAACTCATTGCCAAAGGATATCATTGAAGCATAAGACTTAACAGGACTTTAAAAAGGATTAGACTGAACGTAGTGAAAGAACACCCCCAGCTAGGATCTACATGGCAAGGAATATAAAACCTCACAGTTTGTGATTCCTCTTATTATTAAGATGAAGAAATTCTAGATGGATGTTTAGCTGTTGGGGATTAGGCAGAGGATGAGCCTCGATGACACTCACCCCTCACACTCCCCCAGTCTTTATTTTCAGCTCAGAGATCTCTTGAGCTGAGTGTGGTTTCCTCTTTATTTAAGACCCCTCAGTGGGTTTCTCCTCCATGAATTTGCCCAGTTTCCCTCAAACCCAGGAAAACTGTTAGTATAAAAAACATTCTTCAGCAAGGAGTTCCCCAGGTCTATTCCCTGCTGCTGTAGAAGCTTCTGCCTCCCCGTTAATTTGGCTGAGGTCCTGCTGAGCTGTTTGGCAGCACAAAGCATTCATCTCTCATAGTTTGAGATTTTTGCTTCCACGGAGCATTTAGCTCATGTTTTCCCTGATGTTCCTCATGTTGGTTCATGTTCACCATGATCCCAAGCTATCACTCCCAAGTGGGCAATGGCCAACCCAGAGCCATCTTATATAAGAAGTCATGTTGGATTTTACCCTCCATGTGACACCTCATACTCTCCCACACATCCCCTGCCATTTTATCCCCAAAGTCCTGCAAGTCTGCATCATCAGCCTTCATCTATGCTATGCCGAATACACAAGAACTATCAGTAGAGTTTGTTATCTCACCATCATTTCCTATCTGATAATTGATTTTTTTACCTCTGCTTGGACTTTCACTCTTAGCCATGGCTGACCTAAAGGTCTCTGCCTCTGGAAATCCAGGAAAACTCTTTTCTACCAGGTCACCCTTATCCATAAGCCCATTGATGCCTTCAGTGAACGCAAATCGCTTTCTGAGACTGGACTTCCCTTTACAAAAGCTGCTTTTCACCACCCTGAGATCATCACCAAAGCCCAGACCAGCTGCAGGTCTACAAGGCTGAAGGTGATGAAATTAGGCAGGGGCATGAGATCGTGCAGGGAAGCGATGCTCAGGGGGACCAGTCCAGCATTTATCCAGCTCTGCCCTACGCACCAGGCTGTCATGTCTGCTGTCCCAGATCTACAACCAGGAGAGGAAAGCTGTGTGCTCTTGGCCGAGGGAGTTGTGCCACAGGACGCTGGGGCATGCAGGCAAGGCTCTGGTGTGAAACTGCCCTTCTCTCGGGTACCCGCTTTGCCCAGGGGTGGCTTTCCAGCCGCTTCACAGGAGGGCTCTGCCAGCAGACCTGCATCTGCCTGAGGAGCTCAGGGAGGCCAGACCTTCATCTGATGCAGACCAACAGAAGACACCCATTTGTACCCACTTAGGACCAGTATTGGCAGAGTTTTTTTCCCTTGGGAACAGTGTCCTGTGTCTCATCCCTATGCAGAGCCTGTTTCTTTGGCTACAGGGCAGTGGAGATCTTCCAGTTTCCACCGCTCTGCTGTAATTAGGACATTCCTCAACCTCGCTGCAGGGCCCAGTGGTGAACCCTCCACCTCCACCCTTTTTGCCTGGGCCAGTCCCCCAGCATCAGCCAGGGCTCAGCTCCTCCCTCGGCTCCGCAGGCTCTGGTTGTGCTGCCAGGGGGGTGAGTGCAGTCGGCAGCATCGTCTGCCCGGGCTTCCCCAGCAGGTCGGGGCATGGCCCTCAACAGCCAGGAAAAGGGGTTTTTCACCCTTGCTCAGCTGCCATCCCATCGCTGCAGCGGTGCCACAGCTCACAAAGGTCCCACCAGCGAATGCTTTAAAAATCTCGACTCCCCTCCTGCACACGGAGATCTCCCCACCTCCCTCCCCACGCTGGTGCTCTGCAGGTGCTGGGATGGTCCAGGGCTGTCCTCCCCCAGCTACAGTTCATTCAGCTTTTGGAAAGGTGTGTGTGGTGCACTGGAAACTGATATTCCAGAGATACCTCTGCTGTGCGAAGAAAGCCAGAAAGTGCCTGGGATTGGTGTGTGTTTGCTTAGAAACGGAACAAAACCTGACCACAAACTTTTCTGTTTTCTGCAGGAAAGAATAACTATTGTCCAAACTACCTTGCACCTAGCTAGCAGAGGGGTTTTTTTCATTTCTAATTTAACTTTTTTTTTTGAATGAATATTTTGACAAATCTTGGTTCAGAAATGCTGCTGTTGTCACCCCACAGATGCTATAGTGTCCTTCGGGTTCCCCTTCCCCTCTGCAGATTGGCCTCCTCAGCAGATGACACCTCCTGTGATGCCTCAGGTCTAATGATGGACCACGGACATCCCTTAAAAGTGGTGTCAGTGGAAACTTTCCAGGCCATGGATAGAATGAGTGTGATTCATTGCCAGCAGGCGCATGGCAGACTGCATCCCTCACCGCACATGAAGTTAGTCGTGATGAATGAGAAGACCCCTCCGATGTGAGCAGTGGGTGAGAGCACTCCAGCCTCAGCAGGGGAAGATGGACAAGGTGGACATACCCTGCTCACACCAAGCACCACACCCCAACCCAGCCCCACTCCTTCCCAGAGCCATGGGACCCGAGCCTGGAGGGGTGCAGGAGGGGAAAACGGGCGTGCAGAAACCCATTTCTCCCTGTTTTACACTGCAGGGACACACAGGACCTGTGGTGACAGCTCCAGGGTGATGGGTGATGGTGGTTGTGCTGTAGCCCTGCCAATGTGCCACGGTTGCCCCCGGTCGCCTCCTGCACAGCTGCAGCAGTGGGGTTTTATCCTGTACCAGCCTCACCACGGGGGCTAAGGGGAGGCTAGGGGGGTAATGTTTAACCTTTGCCACGAGGACCGCAGCCTGGCGTTAACCCCCACACAGGGCAGGGTGCTGCAGTGGTCTTCAAAGGCCACGGGATAAACTTTACCCCTTCCCAGCCCAATGTTGCCCATCACGCTAATCCTCCTCGCCTTCGTCCTTTTGCAGCTCCAGCCACCAGCTGAGCTGCAGATACACTCAGGGAAATATCTGGGGGCAGTTCAGGTGTCTCTAGGAGTGACTGGTTAGCAAGGAGGTCCCAGAGCATCCTAGGAAAGGAAGGGACCATTTCACGGATATTTTTGAAAGGCCACATCGGGCCGAGCCCTTTGCATCTCCCTCATGGCAGTTAGCCAGCAAAAAACCTTTCCAGTGGAAAATCATTGTGTTGATTAATTTTTTTTTCCTACTGTCTCATTTAAACATTTTCTGCAGTTTCACAATTTCACTAGCAACTGCTCCAGCATCAGCTTCTGTCCCTAAGAAGAGCCTTGCAAGTCCCCCATTTGGGCTGAATTTTCAGTAAAAAGGGATTACCGTAGAGTTCCCTTCGAATTCAGGAAGAAGAAATTGAGATTGCTGTTACCTAGGAGGGAGGCAACAGTGGGACTGCTGAGTTGCCCAGTGCAGGGGAAGCCAGGCACATCCTGGGACGAAAGGCTCGACCTGCCCCTTTCACCAAGGGGAGAGCTGGGCTCCCAGCTGGCCCTGAGCCACAGAAGCAGATCCAGAGGGAAGACCGAGGAGAAGGCTTGACTCCCAGTCCCCCGATCCAACCACAAGAGCCTTGTGCTCAGAGCGGGCAGCTGCACTTCCTCATCGAGATTCAATCCCTGCAACAGATGGGGCTTTTTCTGTGCTTCTAATAAAACTGAAATCCGTAAAACTTTCTTTTCCCATGACCGATCAATGTGATTTTCCAATAGAAAAGGATGAAAGTGGGACACGGTGACTGAGGAACATCATACTTTGAAAAAGTAGAGGAACCTGCAGAGCAAAGAGTTTTGGAGTTGGCTTTTTCTCTCCCCCACCCCCTCAATCTGAAACACAAGGCAGCCATGCAAAGTCATCGATATCCTATGATAGGTGCGTGTGGGCTCTGCGACCTTGCTGACTTCATCCTGGCTGGCTCTTACTGCGGCTGCAGAGACGTGCTGGCTGCTGAGATGAGCCCTGAGGTTTTGCTCTGCAGCAGTTTCGGGGGTTCTGGTGCACTGGATCCAACGAAGAGCTGGGCACGGGCACAGGCTGCCGAGCATCGACTGGAGCCTGGTCCCACAGCCCCCATCACCCATATTGCCTTTCATCTCACTCTCGTCCCTCCCTGCCCCACAAACACCACCCTTTTTTTTTTTGTTAACATAATTGCACTAAGCTCAGAGCAACTGTTCTCGACCTGGACTTGGCTTGCCGTTCTCTGCTTCTGTTCCAGGTCTGAAGAAGGCTTTGTTTCCGTGAAACCTCTCTTGCATTTTCCAGCTATACCAGTTGGTCGGGTAACAGTTATTACCTCTCCCTACACACCTTTCTTCCTCTGCCAGGATCGCTGCCGAGTGTGTGTGAGTTCCCTCTGGGGATAGCATGCGCGGCAAGATCCCAGGACGCTGCCTCGGCACGGCTCCCACTCGGGCAGAGAGCTCAGAGGGGTGAGATTGCAGCCGAAACCTTTTGCCTCCAGTGGTGGGGCTGGTTGGGCCGTGGCAGCATCCTGGGATCTCACCACGCATGATCTCCGATCACCTCCAAGAACAGAGTCGCTTGGGTTGGCTGAGATGGAGACTGGCTTCCCAGGGCTGCGCCGGCCCGGAGCGTGCCCTGAGGTGCGCACGGGGAGCACAAGTGGTCAGTGAGTCCTGATCCCATGCTAGGCTGTGGCTGCTCTGTTGAAGTAAGCTTGGAAAGGAAAAAATGGGTGGAAAAGGCTCTGTGTGCCATGCAACTGCTCCGGTCATGCGGGGGGTGGTCCTGGCCCCAGTTAGCAGGATGCTGGTGGGGATGGAGGGTCCGGTGGAAAGACAAAGACTCTGAGTATCTGTCCTTGCTAAGGGTGAAAATGTGTATTTTCCAGCTGACAGCCACCTCTGATCTAATCCCTTTCCCTTTTTGGGAAAAGTTTTCATATTGAGCCTTAAATTCTCTGTGAAGGAGCTGCTGGGTGTTGTGGCAGCCCGAGTGCTAACAACTGTGCTAGAAATAAGCATTGCCATCAGTCACCACCTGCCCTAACCCTCTTTGCCCAGGGACGAAAGTGAGCAGTTCAACTCAGTATCCCTGAATTGGCCAAAGGAGGGGATGTGATGGCCAGAGCAATGCCAGCTCGGAGCCCAGAGCCAAACCCACCTCCCTGCCACGGCTCCCCCTCGCTTGTACTGCCGGCCACCGACCTACTCGAGTTTGCTGCAGAAGGTCCTGCAAGAGCCAGCTGCGTGGGGCCACTTTTCTGTCCCCAAAGAAATGCAATGTTTTTTCTGGGAAGACTGAGCTCTGTTGGAGACCGCGCACTTTTTGATGCTGTTTCCTTCCAGCCCTGGTGCCAGTCTGGGAACCTGCACTTTGCTCCACGTTTACAGCATTTTTTGTACTTTACAAGCTCATGACACAGGCAGGGTGTGCTGCAAATCACCCACGGTGTGGCACAGGTCTGAAACCATGGATGCTGCGATTCTCCTGGGGACACCGCGGTGTGGCACAGGTCTGAAACCACGGATGCTGCGATTCTCCTGGGGACATTGACAAGGCACTGCTCCAACCACCATGGGGGCTGAGCCTCAGCATCTCCCGCAGTGCAACCCAAC